TGGGACTGAACGGGTATAAAGTTTCTAAAGAAAAGGCACAAATAGCATGCCAGACGGTACTGTATTTAGGTTGTGAAATCTCACAGGGACAGCGAAAACTGGGAATAAATCGAATTGAGGCCATATGCGCCATCCCAGAACCCCGGAATTTACATGAGTTAAGAACCTTTTTGGGAATGACAGGGTGGTGTCGATTATGGATAATGGACTACGGGCTTATTGCTAGACGACTGTATGAGGTGCAGAAATCACCTGTGTTTGTTTGGAGTAAACCGCAGAAAGAAGCTTTTAAGAAACTGAAGTTGGCGCTGAAAACAGCCCCTGCCCTGGGACTCCCGGACTTGACCAAGGAATTCCAATTGTTCGTGCATGAAAGACAGAGACTGGCTTTAGGAGTATTAACCCAAAAGTTGGGCAGCTGGAAAAGACCTGTAGGCTGTTTCTCTAAACAACTGGATCCGGTAAGTGCGGGATGGCCCTCCTGTTTGAGAGCTGTGGCAGCGACCGTGATCTTAATACTAGGAAGCTAGAAAGCTGACTTTGGGTAAACATATGGATGTATTTGTGCCACATATGGTGACAACTGTTTTAGAGCAAAAAGGGGGGCATTGGCTGTCACCCAGTCGGATGATGAAATATCAGGCAATTCTAACAGAACAAGATGATGTAAGTTTGAAAACCACTAACTTGTTAAATCCGGCAGTTTTTCTTGGAACAGATCCAGAAGAGGGAACTCTTGAGCATGACTGGGTGGAAGTTATCGAGCACACCTATGCAACCAGAATTGATCTAAAAGATGTACCTCTCGCAAACCTGGATTGGGAATTGTTCACTGATGGAAGCAGCTTCGTGGAAAATGGAACACGATACGCGGGATATGCCGTGACTACGTGGAAAGAAATAGTGGAAGCACAAGCGTTGCCCCCAGGAACATCAGCACAGCGAGCAGAGCTGATTGCTCTAACAAGAGCTCTAGAACTTAGTGACAACAAGAAGGCTAATATATGGACAGACTCAAAGTATGCCTTCGGAGTAGTTCATGTTCACGGGGCCTTATGGAAAGAACGAGGATTGTTATCTGCGCAAGGTACAAACATAAAATATCAAAAGGAGATATTAGAATTAATAACAGCAGTACAAAAACCGGACCAGGTAGCTATAATGCATTGTAGAGCCCACCAAAAGGACTCGTCTAAAATATCCGAAGGAAATGCATTGGCAGATCACACGGCCCGGCAAGTAGCTTGACAGGAATGGGGCAATATAATGGCGCTAATACCCTTAAAGGTAAGTCCACTGCATACTTACCTTCCACAGGATCCTGGATGTTCTCAAGAAGATGAAAGGTTAGCAGAATTGTTAAAGGCTCGGAAAAACGCACAAGGATGGTATGTAACAACAACTGGGCAAGTGATAGTGCCCCCAGCCGTGATGCGACAAATCCTGCAGACTGAGCATCAAAAGTGTCATTGGGGTGCAGAAGCATTAGTAACTTATTTAAGAAGAGGTATAATTTCTACACAGATGTTAACAATGGCAAAAGCAATAGGATCTAAGTGTGAGGTTTGTTTGAAAAATAATCCAGTGGTTAAAAGACCGGTTCAAATGGGGAGAATTAGAGTAGGGATGGAGCCTGGAGATTATTGGCAAATTGATTTTGCGGAGTTACCCAAAGCCCAAGGGTATAAATACCTGCTGGTTGGGGTTGATACTTTTTCTGGATGGCCAGAAGCCTTTCCCTGTCGCACAAACCAGGCTAAAGAAGTAGTAAAATGTTTGTTAAGGGAAATTATTCCGAGGTTTGGAGTTCCATTAGGCATGTCATCAGATCGAGGGCCTCATTTCATCGCAACCATTGTCCAGGATGTGAGTAGGCTGTTAGGGATTACTTGGGACCTACACACCCCTTGGAGACCGCAGTCTAGTGGGCAAGTAGAGAGGATGAACCAGACATTAAAAAGACAAATAAGCAAGATCTGTCAGGAAGCTAAGATACAGTGGCCCCAGGCTCTGCCTATTGCATTATTACGAATTCGAATTAAACCCCGAAGTGGGATGTCAGTAAGTCCTTACGAAATCCTTTATGGTAAGCCATATGAAGCTCCGAAACCAAATTCAGACATGCACATTAAGGGAAATCAGGATGTTTACAATTATGTGTTGTCTCTTGGAAAAATTCTAATGCAGCTGCGGAACACCTTGGTATGGAATAGACCTTTACCTCTGGAGAACCCAGTACACGACATTCAACCTGGAGACCGGGTATACATCCGGAATTGGAGTGAAGAACCTTTGAAAGAACGGTGGGATGGGCTGTACCAAGTACTGTTAACTACTTTTACAGCTATCAAAGTAGAAGGAATAGACTCTTGGGTACACTACACCCGGGTAAAGAAAATTCCGACGGTTTGGGAATCGCAAATGCTTTCGCCTACTAAGCTCAGATTGGCATCTAAATGAAATGTCGGGATTCAATTATAAAGTCCTGTTCGTAATTTGGTTAGCAATACCACTGGAAATAGTTACATTCGTTGAAATTGTGTTAAAAGATAGTGTGACGATACAATGGGTCAGACATAATGCCATTCTGATTTGTGAGTTCAAGAATGACGTTGAATTAGAAATAGGAGATCTAAAAGTGGTCTGGGAGAGAATTGACCAAAACAAATCCGTAGTTAAATTAGAATCAAGAGGATGGGTTCAAAAAGAAATAAGTGAAGACAGGCATTCAGGGAAGACTAGGCTTGAGTTACCCAATGTGACTGAAATAGATCAAGGAGATTACCTATGTTTAGTCGACATTAACGGCAGTACTGATTATGGGAAGCGAACACTGCTGGTAAAATCTCCGGAAGGTTATGGAATAAAAGCAGGGCATGACAAATATCTTGTGACTCTAGGGTCCGATGTTTTAATTTACTGTTACTTGCAGGATCAACGGCCTCCCTATTATGGATGGACCAAAGATGTTTTTCCGGTTCCAACAGATAGTAGACATCAAACAGAGATTCGTATGGGAGGGATGCTGACATATTCAATTAGGAATTTTCAGGAAGAAGATTTAGGAACTTATCGGTGTGAGTATAAAAATAACACAGCAATGGGATTCAGTGAAATTAAAGTTGTAAAAGAAAGGGCCAAAAGAGCAATAGATACGACACGAACAATACAAGTAGCACACCCAAACCCACAAGAAAATTTAATTGTAGGATTAATTAGAGATTTTGGAATAATGCAAAATGTTTCAAAAATTACTGCTTGTCTGCCCTTACCCCAAGCGGCTGGAGAACCAATACCATGGGGAATTATCACTGTAAGACTACCTCCCAAAGAGCTAACGAACTCTACAAAAGAATGTGAAATAGTAGTTCGAGAATGGAAAGAGACAATAGCAGGGTGTCGGTTATTAACAATTACAACAGAACAAGACTGTCGAAAGAAAGAGGGGTATTATACTTGGGAAGTTGGTACGAGAAGATGTATTGTTACCGGGCCAGCAAGAGAGCCCTGTAATAAACTCTGGCTACAGGTAAAGCGTACAAAGAACGAAATGGTATGCCAGAATAAGACTGAGAAAACGTTATGGGATAGTTGGAAAACTCTTTGGGGACCAGCCTTATTAGAGCATTATAGTTATATCAGTGAAATACAATGGTGTTTTGAATGGACTGGAAAAACTAATGAAACTGGTAAAGTATCTCATAAAGATACCTCTCAAAGGGAGAGAGTGCCAGCTGAATGGACCTGTAAAGAGGTATACTCTTGTGATAGTATGTCAACCGAAATTGGGATACCCGCAGTGCAAGCAGCATTAAAATTTGGATGTGAATGTCGAGATTATAGACATCGGCAACAACAAGAATATTCTAGTGGACAGCAGCAACGGAATTGTAAAATTGACACTATACGAAGTCCAGGGAGTCTAGTATGGGTAATGGGGCATGGGCAATGGACAACCCATTTGTCATTAGACGGACCAGTAACCCAAATTACCTTAGGTATCCCCACTTTATGTCCCCTATGGAATCCTATGAAAAGTACTCAAATGCAATATTCGAAAACAAAGGTTAAAAGAGAAATAAATTCAGAAGATGTTTGGCATGAACCTAGCACAAGCGTGGAATTTGAATGGGTTCTGGAATCGATGTTTGCACCAATAGCATCCTATAGAAATAGAGAAATGTTATTTAAATTGTTGGGTCAAACAGAAAGATTAGCTGCAACTACTAAAAAAGGTTTTAAAGATCTTAATTTGCAACTACAAGCTACTTCAAGAATGACCTTGCAGAACAGAATGGCATTAGATATATTGCTGCTTAAAGAACATGGGGTTTGTGGATATCTTAGTGATCGGATTGACCATTGCTGTATCCACATTCCAAATGTTACCCAAGAAGTTGAAAAGGATATATTTCAGTTGCAAGGAATACAAGAAGAGACAAAAGAAATTGAAAAGGAAGCCCAACAAAATTGGGTTGGAGCATTGTTTAA